TACCTAACCCTAAGCAATTTTACCGTGTGGAACATCTTCAGTGGTAGTACACTGAAGAGGTCTCAAATGAGCTAATGACTCCAAGATGAATGAGCATAACGTAGCGTAACATATAACGTAAAATGTTATATGAATGTTGGAGACCTGGGGAGGACCATTTTCACATCATAACACTGCCATTAGCCTGGAATGCAGCCCTTGGATGAGATGCTCTCCAAAATTTGCACTGCTCTTCCCTCCTCCATCTAATGTCCATATCCCCAAAGCAGCATCGCTGATATGAGAAACCAAGAGCAAAGACTGGTGAAACCAGCAGGCGCCCTCACTGTGTGCCAGCAATTTTGGAGCAGATAAAGTCATTAAGGAAAATTTTAACAATGTATAACCTTTCAGCTTTACTCGGCTAACAGCAGGTAGCTTGCCTTGCAGAGACATGAGCCTGCACTGAAGTCACCAGCAAGCAGGACTTGACCTTCATTTTCAGTATACGCAGTATTAAATATTCATAATCCACAGAACTGTAGCATAAGAAGTAGCTGAGTTTAAACATGAATTAAAGGAAGAAATATCTCCCCACAGGTAAGTCATCCTTTCCAAGAATGCCCCTGGAAAAAAATGCAAATACCCAGGGCCTGAAGCCTCTGTCTCTTCCAACTTTCTCCTGAAATTCTAGAAGTAGCAGGAACTGCTGCGTTATGCAACCCATGAATTCTGCACTCACACTGACATCGTTGGGTCTTTTTTTTTTTCTTATCTATTAGAAAAGAATTACTGTTCCTATGTCAAAGAGAGGAAACAGACAGGGATGGAACCAGCAATGGTGACATTATCACCCAGAGGGTGTCTGGGGCACTTTTGACTCGGTTGTACAATTTTTAAAAAATCTTTGCTTCACAGAGTATCAGAGCATGTGGGAGGAAAAGGTTGGCGTAGAGATCAAGAGACATCAGAATTAGGAGCTGGAGCAGCGCAGGCCTTAAATTGGGCAGAACACCTTTAAAAAGAAATGAAAAAAGAAACCGTTCTTTGGGGCAGTGTCTGCCTTGTGTGGCTTAATTTAATATCTTTTGAGGGATGGGATTACTGTGTTTGGAGGGCTTAACGCTTCTCTGTGTCTATAAGGAACTGACACTTGTGTCTATCCAAGAGTTGGTGGAACAACTCCCCCCTGCTTGGGTGTTTCTAGAGAGTCTACCACTGGGATGATGAAGCATAATTTTAACACAGTTTAATGTAATTCTCTTTGGCTTTCAACTCCAGGAGCTCTGAGCACAATCTGTCCTAGCTAGACAGCAATCACTTGAAGCTGCAAGAGTGATTCTTCTGGGGCAATCCCTCTAGGAATATTAAGACCCAAGGAAGGGCCCCTTGAATCCTTGAATGAAAAAGGACTGCTCAGGGAGCTATCCCGGCCCAGCAACGGGAAAGGAAAGATGCGTAGGCAAAGCTGTCTTTGGAAATGACTTACCCACTGCCTCTTGAGGGTACAATAAGCTTGGAAAGGTTAACAAGATTATAGAGCCACCAATGATGACATTTAACTGAACTGCCTTCCCCACCTGCTGCCACACGGAAGGGGAATACCGAACCAGCCAGCCTACCAGCCCATTAGCACAACCAGATAGACCTGCCTGACACTGAGCCAGCAGGGCAGCCCCCCAGAGCCTCTTTCCTATATTAACCAGCCTTTCTCTCACTCTTCAAGGGGCTGGGTGCAGAGAGACTTCACACCTTGAACTTGTGCTGCTGGAGCGTCCCCCTCCATTGTGGGGGAGGCCAGCTGTGATTAAAATTCACGGACACGGGACGCCTGGGTGGCTCAGTTGGTTAAGCGGCTGCCTTCGGCTCAGGTCATGATCCCAGCGTCCTGGGATCGAGTCCCACATCGGGCTCCTTGCTTGGCAGGGAGCCTGCTTCTCCCTCTGCCTCTACCTGCCACTCTGTCTGCCTGTGCTCGCTCTTGCTTCTCTATGTCAAATAAATAAATAAAATATTTAAAAAAAAAAAATTCACGGACACAAGCCACCTCACAATGGTGTCTACCCAATTAGGCTCATGCAAAGGGAAAGCCTGTAGACTTATTTATTTGACTGATATATGTGAAGGGCATAAATGCTAACAAAAATTGATCTGAAGAAGACTAGGTTTTTTTTTTTTTTTAATATTTTATTTATTTATTTGACAGAGAGAGAGAGATCACAAGTAGGCAGAGAGGCAGGCAGAGAGAGAGAGGAGGAAGCAGGCTCCCTGCTGAGCAGAGAGCCCGATGCGGGGCTCGATCCCAGGACCCTGAGATCATGACCTGAGCCGAAGGCAGAGGCTTTAACCCACTGAGCCACCCAGGCGCCCCGAAGACTAGGTTTTTTGAGGGTGATAATATCGTGTAAGTTCCCAAGGGAAGTTTAAAGCTCTCTTTCCAAGACGCCCAGATGGCCAGCCAAACTACAAGTGTGTCTAATCGATGGGAGTTTTGAATGGAAAAATGGATTTTAAGAATCGACATTCAGCTTTCTTAGACATTTTCCGTTTGCATATTGTGTGTGGCTAGAATTTCATTTTCTCTTATTTACTCTGCTTGATTACAATGTCTCATAGGTTTGTTTCGTTGTTGTTGTTGTTGTTTTATTCCGGGGAATCTATGGACTTGCTATACAGGTTACTTCACAAATTCTACTTCTTCCCCTTACTTAATGTGCGCACACTTCGCGGAGTGTCCCCAGAAAGATGGAAGGCTCCTTGGTAATGGCTCTGCTGATCAGGTCACCCAGAGGACAGAACCTTGGGAGATGGCTATAACCAAACACAGCAATGCAAATGGAAAGTAGAAGGGCTAACATAAATAAACATAAGGTCTTCTTATAAACCAAGACTCGCTATGCCAAACCACACAGGTCAGTCACAGAGAAGAAAGACTGAGGCTAGGACAGTCCTCAGGGAGAAGAGACACAGGCTTGGTTCTAAGATTATTGGCATTTTTGCTGAAAAAAGAGGAGAATAGGACTGAATGTCCATCTTTGGAATACACTCCTTCCAAGTTCGTAAACAAAGCCAGAGCCAGACAGGGCTCCCGAGGCTGGCTTTCCCAAGACTTGGCAAAATCAGAACAAAATCCCAAGGACACCGGGGTGCCTCAGCATACCCAGGGAAGGGGCCCTTGGCCTTGGGGAATTCCGTTCCTTTCCAACCTCTCACATGGAGCCGAGAACACCAGAATCTACGGAACCAAAGACTGCCTCTCAGTAGACACTGTAAAAAAGGACACAATTCAAATCCGTCTAACAAGAGCATTTTATTTCTGAGAAATACAGAGGAGCCGAAAGGGTGGGGAAGGGAAAGAAGGCGGCGAAGCATCTCTCCGAACCGATCGCCACACTCACCTCCATGTAAGGGTTTGCTCTGTCCGCGGCAGACACACGACATGCCCAAACCCATTTCCTGAGCCTGGCATGGAAGCTGACAGGGTCTGCACCCCATGGCATGTGAGAACATGCCGCTCCTGGGAAGAGAATGAGGAAAGAAGACGAGGGCTTTAGAAGATCTTTGGTTCAATTCAAATATGGTCCAGAATCATTAAGATGAGATATTTAAAAGAGGCTTACCTTCCATGCCATACCATTTGGGAGTTTTCCAGACTTAAACAACTCTTCTCTTTCTTGGCTGGGAAGAGCTGATGGAGGGCACATGTAGACTCTTGTCTTCTGGAGGATTTTGAAAGGACCCTCTCCCTGAGGCAGGGGAGAGCAGTCCAGCCTTGTGCATGGGGACGGGCTGAAGGACCTCTGAGATTCTCAGACTTGGCGGATTCCCAGAGGCGAGTGATTCAAAGGATGCTTTCTTTATTTTCCCTGACATGGCATTTTGGCCTCAGCATCCTCAGCACTGCACAAAATCCTTTGGCTGGTGACCAGATGCCGCTGAGAAATTCAGAATTTAGGCGTGCACGAAATGACTACCATCCTGAGCCACAGAAAAAGAGCACAAAGCTCAGAATTCAGGCACACCGGGGTGTATGCCAACAAGGACACAAAGCAGGTGCCTAGAGTCAAACTCTAGTAGGCAGCCATACCACGGATAGAGTTCAAAGAGGTGAAACCTCTCTTACAGTAGACAATGCTGGCCAAGAGTTCAAGTTCATGTCACACAGAAAGGCGCATCAGACCAGCTCAGCTCCAGCTTCCCAGATGCTGTCAGCCTCAAGCTTGCAACAGAACAGTTGGAACAGATGAGGCACCCCGGGGTGACACCTGCTGGAAGCGGGCAGAGCTGGCCGCCACCTAGCAGCTCTGCTCAGTGACCCCTTTTACCTCTGATAAAGTATTAAACTCTGTCACAAGACCCCACCGCAGGCTCACCCTAGGGTACCAGTTCATTCAACTGGCACCCCAGGGGTCTGCGTGAATGTCCGCTCTAGGAAATGCTAGATGGCCGTGGGTCTACACCTCTGGGAGTCATCATGAACTCCTCCATCCCATCTGTCACCTCCACAAGTCAAGAAGCACTAACAAGCAATGCTCCCACGGAATATTCTGCTTGATAGCAGCAAAGGACAGAACCACGCTTCCTAATCTGACCTCCAGTAAGATGACAGCATCAGGAATCCCTCATGAGAAGAGGCCCTTTTCACCCATAGCAAGAATGGCTCAGACCCTCGGTGGCTGGATATGTGCAACCCTCCTAATGGTTGAATACTCATACCAGAGCCCTCTTAGTCTCTCGACGTTGTTAATGCAAATACTTCAACAGGAAACAGTTATTTGAAAATAAATAACACCCAGCAAAAAGGCTTACCCTTAGATACCACTCCCTCCCTCTTGTGCCAGCAGAGTCAAAGTAACCTTCCTCATGAGAGCTTGTTTTCCCAGTCAGAAGACCAGCCCAGAGTAGCCCAGCCTTCCACGGACAGCCTTCCAAATTTCAGTGTTACAGTAAATCCCTTGATCAATGCAGAGGCTCATGATTGTTTTAGCAAAGAGGGCAAGACAACGTATTTGAATACTCACTTTGACGAATCTATGAAGTATATTACAAGTGCACCAATGCTCAGAGCAAAGACTAAGACAACCTGCAAAAGAAGAGGAAAATGTCATCACTTAAGAGCCGACACCGGGAAGCTTCGTATTTCGTGTTTGGGGTTTTTTTTGACACACACGGCAGCAGCTGGGAAGCAGGGTTCCGACTGCTTTCTGGGGCCCTCTTGGGAATCTCAGTCCCTGGAGGCCCCCACCGGACGCCCTGATGTGGCCTTCGTGCCTTGCAGTGGGCAGCAACCTCAGTGCCGGCCAACAGGGGTCAGGGCAGACTCTTGGATCTACGGCTCTCATCCTGCCCTGTCCTCAACAGGGTCCAGCTTCTCCGCAACTGAAGTGAGCACACTCTGGTGGGAAGGACAGGCAAACATTCAGGTGACACAATGGGTCATGTTATATGCAACCCGGGCCCAGAGGAACTCAAATATGGGAATATCAATTTTTCACAGCTCTGCCAAGATACTACTTGGCAGTGGGTACATACCATAAAATTCACCTATTTTAAGCATACAATTCAATGACTTCGAGTAACCGACCAAGTGATACAGCCGTCACTGTCATCTAGTTTCGAACATTTTCGTCAATCCCAGTTCCACCCCTCACAGGGACACCCAAGAATGGTCGGTCCCTACTCCCACCCGAAAGCCTACGCAAACCCTGATTTACTTCCTGTCTCCAGGCAAGAACCATCAATTTGAAAAGCACATATCTGCTACTTGTACGTGTGTGTGTGTGTGTGTGTGTGTGTATACTTATAACACCTCTCAAGTATTCTGGAAACAGTTTAGGTGAGGAAAGCCAAATCTGGTAATACATTAGAGCCAGCTACACAAGCACCCCTGTTCATGTTTACACTCTTCACTCAGAATTAATTCCCGCTGATCTATTAAGATTTTATTTATTTATTTGACAGACAGAAATCACAAGTAGGCAGAGAGGCAGGCAGAGAGAGAGGGGGAAGCAGGCTCCCCGCTAAGCAGAGAGCCAGATGCGGGGCTCGATCCCAGGACCCTGGGATCTTGACCAGAGCCGAAGGCAGAGGCTTTAACCCACTGAGCCACCCAGGCACCCCTAATCCCCGCTGATCTAGAAGACAGTCTGGCATCTCCTCCAAAGACTACCTGTCACATGGAAGCCCATCCGAGCCATATGTCGCCGCTGAGGCAGACACCGACACTTCTGCACCCTCCCTCCATCCCAGTTTGTTTATTTAGTCTTTCACAGAGGAGACCCGTAGGGCATCTAAATGGATGCTCAGAAATAAGAAAGATGCGAAGATTGAAAACAAAAATCAACACCACCGCTAGACACAGTGCCAGGGCTCGGCAAATACCTTTCAGACACGCTATCTCCTAAAGGGACTTTGGAAGGAAAGAAGTGTCAGTCTCCTCTGAGTATCTACATATTGCCATCCCTCTGGCATCAGCTGGCGGAGAGAGAGGAATCCCAGCTTATGTAATGACTGGGCATGGTCAAGCCGTGTGTGTGTGTGTGTGTGTGTGTGTGTGTGTGTGTGTGTGTGTGTTACAGAGAGAGAGAGAGAGAGAGAGAGAGAGAGAGAGGACCACACATACATATCTGTACTCTGTGTGTGCACCAAAGTGGTGGAGAGGAAATGAAATCCGCATATGGCATTCGCTGGAAACACTGGAGAGCCCCACAGAGCTGCCGGACAGGCGGCCGACCGCACAGTAAACACCGACAGAGACAAACAGCCCGCCGCTGCGGAAGGAAGACACAGCTTCACAGCACCTGACAAACTATCCTTATGAGAGGAAGTGGTAAAGCAGTACGCCACTGGGGCTTATTTAATTCTTCCATTTTGTCTCAAAAACTAGCCCACGCTGCAGCTGAATCCAAGGCAGCACTGCAGTCTGCTGCAGGCGATCACCGTCTCTCGGGGGCCAATCCCCCAGCAGGCTCACCCCAGACGATCCCCTCACACTCACTCATTCATTCTTTGTAAAAGTCATCCACAAAAACAAACAAAAACATAAACAAGCCTGGCTCCCCCCCCCCCCCATTATCTGAATGAGGCACCAAAACAAATAGCTTCAGATTAACTTTGATCTGTGTTGCTATTTCCGAGACATAAGCGGTTAGATCCTGGCCCCGAACCTCATTCTCAAAATGCTGCAAAGGGAAGGGGTGTGGCCAGGACACAGGGGAAGGACCTCTTCTTCATTCATAAACAGCTGACCGAGACTAATTTCTGCCCTCTGGACTGTGTGTGTGTGTGTGTGTGTGTGTGTGTGTGTGTGAATCCTGAGCTTTGGTCAGACCCGGCTATACCGGCCAATGAGGGGAGGAGTGGGAAGGTCAGGGATGCAGGGGAGAGGGGAGGAAAGAGGATGGAAGCCCTTGCAAATGGCATCTACATCATTATGCAACACGCTCAGAATCTAAGCTCTCCTGCAATGGTGAGGGTTTCCCAGCACTGGGGGTCCAGACCAAGTAGCCGACTCTGATTTGTCCCAGCTGCCTTCGCTCGCTCGGCCTCTGTGACGGTCAATAATGTGCAGCTTATTTAAGCAAATCAGCCAGTGACAGGAGGGGAGGACTCCGGCTAGCTTCTTAAGATGCAAACTCAAATATCAGCACCTCTCAGGTAGGGTAAGCGAGGGAAGTAATCCAAGGGCAAATGACCTCCAAGAACTGAAGATCCTGATGAGTGAGCCTGTTCTTGGGTCCACATGGTGGGCCAGAAGCCTTGTTCCTGAGGCACAGGGTGTCCAACTGTTCCACCCACTCGCCTCCATAACTGACATGATCAATGGGGAGCAGACCAGCTTCTCAGGATTAAGGCAACTAGGCATGTGATTTTTTAAACTTGCTAAATGGCTCTTTATCATGTCAGGCTTGATGGCATGGTCAACCTGGATCCAAGTGCTACAGAAAATGCATCAGCCCCTTGGATTACACCATGAGAACAGGAATCCAACAAAGATTCGTCTTCTACAAGGCCCTGGCAAAGGACTAGCACTCTCTCTCTCCATCCTTTATCTTTCTCTCTTGCTCTGACAAATCGCCCATTGTCTGAGAACTCTGCTCTAAATATGAAAAAATTCGGTCCCACTGCAAACAATGGTTAGATATTTAACCTAAATGCCAGTGGTTATGTTATAGAGCAACCCGAAGTAATTATCTAAGTATTTATTTCACATCTGCTATATTTGATGCCCTCGGAAAAGTGGAAAAAGTCCACTTGGAGTCATGAAACATACTTCTTTGTGGAGTAACCCTTACATAGTAACCTATGTTACATTACGCGATGATGCAATTAGTGCCCGGTTGTATGGCATACGTATAGTCAATCTGCAATGAGGTATTGACTAGGTAGAGATATAAATGGGAGAAGTTAAGGATGGGTGGGAACCATAGGGGCTCTTGACTCAATATGTTTTTTGTTCTCAATGTGTCCCTTCTCCCTACCTGTATTGGCTACTCTAGCACCCCTTCAGTAAGGGGGGAGGCCACTGGGAGTCCTTCCATGTGCCTTGATAGTCCCAGGAATAAAAGGCACTGAAGTCCAAGGGACATGGTAAAATGAGGCCAAGAGAAGCATAATACCTGAGATGGAGAAGCACTAGCCCTCCAGCAGCAGGGTCAAAGAAGACCCCTTCCAATAACCAAGCACTTCACAAAGCTGTCGTAAACAAGACCTTGTAAACACAGTCTGACACATGGGACAATAAGAACATTCCCTCTTGAGTCACACTGTGTGCCGACCTCTGCCAGAGCCTTTCTAGCTTTTCACAGGTTGGGGTCAGCAGATCATCACGGCTATCTGGAACGGCGCGAGCCACCATATTCTTAGGTTGACAAAAAAATACCTACATGCTACATGGTGATATGAAGTACTGAGCAATATTTACGGAGGTGCTGGATACCTAACAAAAGTGATTTGATTAATGTCATTGAAACAAGGGTACCCTTGAGTTATCTGTTCTCAGAAATGCAAGGTCAAACACTACATGTGTTTGCACAGAAGAGTACCAGGAACAGACCCACAGACACAGACACGCATTGTATTAAAAAAAAAAAAGTTTGTCCATAACACCTGGCACCAGGAGCCTGATGATAAATGGAGCGCAAAGAAGGGATGTCCACAGATATTTTCATGATGGTCATTCCAGCAGGCCGTGGAGATCTCTCAAATGTCTCAAAAAGTTCATGAAAATGGAAAGCAGGATGGCAAAGCTCAGAATATCCCCTGTCAGGTCACTGAGGATCTTCATGGAAAGGACAGTCCCAGTGAGAATGAACACAGAATGAATGAATCAGGAAGGTGGGCTCTTTGACATGTTGCCTGTGCTAGAAACTGGTTTCCAAGTTGTTAGAGATCGACCCAAGTGCTTTCAGTAGACACTAGTCACGAGTCTGCAAGGGCCTCCAGACGCTAACTGGAGAAAAGGCTCAGAAAGGCAGCTCCCATCACAATCCCCTCACAGGAGTGGCATTTCTTAAAAAACAGAGATTCCTTTCCCCTGCCCTGGAACCAGAGAATGGCCAGCTGGGGGGACGGGCAAGCTGGGCACCTCTATCTTTCATAAGCTCCACCAAGTGAATCTGATATATGGCCAAAAATGGGAGTCACTGAATTAAAGCCATTAGGGGAAACCACTTAGCTCAAGTCAGAGATTAATTTACAAATGTCGCCTTAACAATTAGCCCATTAGAACATATGTATGAGGCCTGGAGACTTTGAGAATCATGCTAGGAGTACTCTAGAAAGTACAGAGAAGAGGATGAATTAATTCTCTCCTGAGCAGGTTTTATACATTCTCAGCTCACAGCAGAACAAATGACCCTAATTAATGATTCTGCACATTTAATTGGGGCCTAGCCAATCACTGGCAGCAGCGACCCCTCCGAAAATGGACCATTTTCTCCATATAATCCCAAAGGCACACTATTCTTTTTATTGAGGTATAATTTATATACAATAGAATTCCCTATATAAAAAAAATAGATACGAGAACTCCCAAGGCAAGACAATGTGGGGATGTTTTGTTTATGACTGATAACATCATTC